AGAAACGTCTCGCGATTGATAATATCGTAGAGTGAGAAGTTGGTTAAAATAACAAAATTCTGTCGATATCGGGAAACAATCGTTTAAAACGTTACAACGTGACGTGTAATCGATAAAATCGCTTAACGGAACAAAGATCTGGCGGGATAAAAAAAAAGAAGAGAAAAAGAGAGGGAGAGGGAGGGGGATAGAGGATCGAAACACGGGATATGTTGAAGAATGAAATAGCAACGGTTCAAGGAATCAATCGAGCCTGAATATTTGAAGCATATCGGGAACCTGTAAATAGGGAAAATTGCTCTAACCCGTTCCGAACCATTCGAGTTCCATTCAACGACGACACCTCCCCGCGCGTACCTTGGAAATTTACCATGTCGTATGGCGCGATCCTGTAAACTTTGAATCACGCTCTCGTTTCATTTTGAAGAGAGAAGAAAAAATTCACGAGTCTGAGTAACAGGCATTTTTCGAAATCCAGGAATATTAGAAAATTTTAGAACTTTAAAGGAAAATGAGAAATTGTTAACTTTATCCGAAAATAATCGAGGACGATTTTTTAAATATACGCCCTAATCACGTTTTAAGAGGATGATACGAGTTCACGTTACGCGTTTAATTGTTTAACAATCTCTCGAGAATTATACATACGTAACTAAAATTTCAACGATTACGATATTACCGGTTGTTTGCTTTTCATTTGCACACACCGCGTTTTACACCGCGTTTAAGCTCCGATATGGAAACAGTTATACCTAATTATACACTTTTTATTAACGCGTCCGATGGAAAGCCAGCAGAAATTTTACAGCGATATCGATCTGAGAATTTATTTCGTTTACGCGTTCATTTTATTCCCAATTTTTCCGAAATAATTTCGTAATCAAATTGCTATTGGTCGAAGGAAGGAATTTTCATCCACTCCTCGATGCATTGGACATTAGAGCCATTTCCAAGCTGGGCGGCGCCAGAATTTTTTTTATTAATCCATTTAAACAGAGCAGAATGATGCCCGAAAATACGAGTCGAGTGTAGAAATAAATGTTTGCTTTTATATTATATACTTTATATTTTTTTTAATAAACAGTTTCAAAACTGTATTTCGCGAGTAACGATACTTTAACAGTGTTTTGTTCCAAGGAATGGAATAATAATTTAAATTTAGACTACTACTCTGAAAATGAATATGAAAAGAAATGCTCACCTTGAGATCAATATCCAATAGGGAAATACTTGATTTAAAACTTAATAGTTTACACGCTTTCTTATTACAAACGCTATCACTGTGGATCGCTTTCATTTAAATGTTTTGTTCGTTGCATTTTGTTTATTGAAAGAAATAAAATCATTAAATCTTACTTACTCAAAAACTAAAGTATAAAATTACTGTTTGCATTATAATCGTGTTGGTAAGAACTAAATTCAAGATCGGGAAAAATTCATTTCCCATCGGTCTCGCTCATTCATGTTTCTGGCAAATCTTCATCAGACTCGTTATAGCACGAGAACGGGTTATTATTGATGCCTAAACTGCTCGAAGGAGGAGTCTTACTATCATATCAAATGTTGAAATCGTTTATATTCTCAGCTATGAGTGAACGAATGGTGATACTTTAACTCTTTGTGACTGTATTTCGATATATCATCGTCCTTTCCTCTTCTATTTCTATTTTAACTCAACTGCAGCATTTGCTCTTTCCTCCAATCCTTGCCTTTTCGTGAAAATGCACACAGAGAGGGTTTACAAGTGTGACACGTGTAAAGTGGTCGTTGCTGCTTTGTTAAATTAAAGATCTAGAAAGCGATGAAAACCATGTCCGCTCATAAATTACTGTTAGACCTCTTCCCAAGCCTTAACAATATCTACAAACTAAATAAACTTCATAACACGACGGTACAAAATTCGACGAAGTGACGTTTATTCTTATTTTTCTTACACTTTTTTCATTCACTCAATCCCTATTAAAAAAATAATTTTTACTATTATACATAATAAAATACAATAAAATATAAAATTATCATATAATATTGTTGTTATTATTAACTCCGTTAATTCTAGTTTTCAGTACATTCTTGTAATAAAGTTCATACCAATCAAAACGTGTCTATATTATTATATAAGAGTCCTACAACGTATCGATGTAACATAAAAATTTCTTTCCACTTCTCATATGTTAATTTTCAAATATTCGAATTATTCCTCTGAATGCAACCCTGAGCAACCCTTTCCTTCCATTTTCCAATCTCCACAGATCGTCCAATCAATCATACTCTCGATACTGTTGTTATGTTTCCTCGCCCATTTGACGAGTTGGCAAACGTCTCGTAACGGCAGAGAGAAAGAAAAGCGATTTTTGTATCAACCTTGCTTCGTAAAACGCGTAAATGTAATTACGATAGCGGAAACGACAATCGGGCTCCTTTGCGCAACGCGATTATCGCGGGCCGATCGTTTCTGAATACCGTTATTTACACCGGCAAAAACCTCCGCCCGTGGATATTAGCTCGAGATAAAAACGACCCAGAATCCTGTTGTTTTTAAACGGGTGGAAATACCTATTTAACCGCGTATTCGCATAATCTCGTGGCGGGGGGAGGGGGAGGGGGAGGAAGGTAAGAACGGATTGAACCTGAGTCGGTTTCGTTTCGTGAAAATGTAACGAGATTGAACTGGATAAAAATTTAAATAGGGAGAGAGAGAGAGAGATCAGCAGCCTGCTGCTACTTCAACTTCCGGTAGAAGAAGGGAGAGAAGAGAGGAAAAGGTTGGAAGCAATCGCTCACCTGTTCCCCGGCAATCGTACACCTGTAAATGAACACCCACTATCGCTAAACCAATCGTTGTTCGGCCAGTTTACGAGGCCCTACCTATCCTCCATCCTGGAGATATCGATTACCGATCGTATCTCGGTTTTCTTCTAATTCTAGAAAAAGAAAAAAAAAAAAAAAGGTAAGGAAAAAAGGTGAAAAACGAAGAGCCGGACACTTTTCCGCGAGCCTCGCCGAGAGCTCCACTCGGAGAGAAATGGCGGTGGAGAATCAACTTTTAGGAAGGATATCGGTGCGGTAAGTTTCGGTGTGGATTTCCTCCCCCTCGAAATTCTCCTCGAGACGAGAAGCGAGTTCGATTGTTTTACTTTTTACCGCGTAATTGCCACGCCTCGAAGCCAGTTAACGATGAACAGAAACGATTATTATCGAACACGATTATTATCCCGAATTGTCTCGAATTTATATTATCGGATAGCGTTTTTGTTATTAGTTAACGGGAGTTATTTAACGTGGTGGATTAACGTTTTTCTAATTCTACGCCGGAAATTACATCGTCGAATTGTGGCGAAAGATCGAGAGGAGACCAAAGTTCTTACCGTTTGAACGCCAGTTTGCATATTCTATTGACCTTCTCGCGGTTCCCCTAGTTCTGTTATCGGCGTAACTTTACCTTTCAAACCGCTCCTAATATCACAGCTATTCTGCCCAACTTCCACTGTTGAGCGTTATCCCGATAGCAGTGTCCCTCTCCGAGTTAACGTATGCTTACATGCACGCGTCTCACCCTCCACGCTGCTCTTTATTACGTTCAACCTCGATTATCGGAATACCGTTTAACCGAACGCTCGATTATCCGAACATGGACGAAAGTTGGCGAGAGATGGCGTACGAATTATATTTTAACGAACGCGCGATAATTTTTTTTCCACTTCCAAGTCACGGTGTCACTCGCGCGATTCACGTCGATAATTCGCTTATTACGAATTTCCAGCTGGTAACTTGATCGCGATTAAATTTTAACCGTTGCGGAGGCGAGAGTTTCCACTTGCCCACACCAGGTTTAAGATACTGTTACAATCAAGCAGGATTCAGCTGATTCCCCTCCCTAGAACGCAAGAAATTTCAGCTTAGATTGAATCGGGTATAAATGAATGCGCGGTTGTAATCAGGGGACAGTTTGGGAAAGTTTAGATTAGTCATCTCTGTTCTCACGATTATCGCAAGTGTACAAGCTTCTCTCTTACGCTTGGCTTGGCAGAAATATCGGCAAATTGTCACGTGTTTTTCATCAGCACGTGTAGAAGAAGAAGCGTGTACATTTGACATTTGGAGAAAGGAAATTTTGCATAGCAGATTATATCATTCTCGAACCTGTTTAACCTACTAATGTAATGTTTGCTATCTGTATAACCGATAGGGCGGTGTTACGTAATACGCGTATCAAGTTTAGAAAAGAAGCACGGCAAAAGTTGGGGCCGCTAGTGTACAATGAATAAATAATAACGTATATTGAAGAAATAACGACACTGATAAGCATCAAAGATGAGATAAAATGGAACTATCCATTATAACTATTCCATTATTCTCCTGAGAATATTAATCGTGTTATAAATAAAATACATTATTATGATATAGCGTGCATTTATTATAAACAGCGATGCATCAACAAGAAAGTGGTTTATCGACGAAGAACAAAAAATGACCTAATGAAATGTCCAGGAGAAAGTTACTCTCGATACGCTTCGTTGGTTACGAGAGGAAATTCAAAGATATTTTATTTGATACGTGCGTTTATAAAAAGATTCCCTAATATCGATGATATTTTTCGTAAAGAACCATTTTAAAATAATAAGTTAATTGGTTAAAAAATTCGTTTCACATTTCGAATAACAATAAACCGAAACCGGTTGAAAGAAGAAAAATGTCAAAATGAATAAAGTAAAGTACAATTTATTATTCATGCATATTCAAATGTCTAAATGCACGCATACGAAATAAGGATATGTCATAAATAATTTCTTGCGTCGATCTTCGATTACAAAAAGTTTAATTAATCTCGTTTCTATCTTTATCCTTAATTATAGCGATCACATATCATCTCTATAACAAATTTCTCTAATCTTGTAATTCTTGATCATACCATTCCTCTTTTTATTACGTCTCGAGACTATTATTTAAACTTTATATCACACGCGTGATAAAGTAGAGATGGATGAAAATATCGATGGAAGAAACGCAAAGAGAGAAAGTAACTGGAACAAATTTCTATAAATACTTGCAACATTTACGTTGCGATATATGAATGCTACGCCTCGAGAAGCATATAAACTAGCTTGGCGAGAAAGGAAAGGGTCGAACCAGGCCGAACTTATCTTTCTATCCCGGCATTGTTTTATTTTCTCGAGTAATTCATTGATTTCACGCGCGTCCGGGGATCACCAGACACTTATGCAACCCGTAGTGGTAGATCTGACATTTAGACTTTAGAAAGTTCCTTCCTCTACACACTCTCCAAACGAAATAAATGTCTCCGATGTCGCGACTGTTAAATTATTCTTTTCAACAATTCGTAGATCTCGATGATTACAATTGTACCTTCCTTCGTTTCGTCGCACAATTATTATTAATCCCCCGAATAATCGAATTCCAATTAACAAACAAAATGCACTACATTTTAACATTACTTAACTTTCTTCTAATTTCGAAAATGCTGTTATTAGCCCCACTCTCTGTCCATCCGCAACGTCTCTTCCCCACTTTCGCCTCGATTTCATAGATGGATAACCAGTCCGTGGTCAATCAAGATTGATCGAAGGGATTCGCGCTTTTATCCCCCCCTCCCTATCCTCGCCTCGAACTTCGAGAAGAACGATTATCCGCATTCTTCTCGCAAACTGTTTCGAAACACGCTCAACGGATAACACACGTTCTCGCCTACCTTTTATCGCCCCGATCGATTATTATCTCTATCTCGATCTACTCTCGTCGTTCCTTTCTACAATAAACAAGAAGAAAGAAAAAAAAATATCAAAACATCCGTTTGTTGGACAACAGCATATAATACACGTAATATTAAAAATATTTTATTATCGAAGCGACGATAAACGATTAAAATCTACACGTTCTTTTTCTTCTAAGCTTAAATCCTTAAGTCTACGTCGGTTTCGCGTGCCCTTCCCTTCCTCCTTTGCTGTCCACCGCCGCTAGGCTTCGGCTTCGGGGGCGGATTTTCCAACGCGTCCAACTCCTCGTCGGTCAACTGACCCTTGTACCAGTCCTTGCTGCAAATTTAATTTCGAAAATTGTGAAAATCGTCCGAAATGAAAACAATCGATTCTCGTACCATTCGGGTATCCTCCTCGCCCAGTCGCACTTCCCGGTCCTCTCGTCGAACGCCTGCCCCAACTTGCACCCGCTCCTCCTCGGTATCTGCCCGTTCACGCACACGTAAAAGTACTGGCAGTCCTCGGTGTCGGGGTATCGGGGGTGGGTGGCCGCCACGGCCTCGTCCACCCTCGGGCACGTGAAGTTGAACAACTCCCTGGAACCGCACCCCTTCTTCTGCGCCTCGTCCGGCCAGTTGCATATACCCGTCCTCTCGGAGAACACCAGCCCCTCCGGGCACGTGATCATGTTGAACTTCCCCTCCACGCAGTAGTAGAACGTGTTGCATATCCTTGGGTCCTCGTGGGCGAAGTAGCCGTGCATCCTCGGGCAATGGGGGGACGGTTGCGGTTTCTCTGTCGAGGAAATCGACTTTTCGTTTCATATACGAATACAAGAGAGAGAGAGAGGGGGGAGAGGAGATCCCTTACGCAATTTCGGCCTGTTGGCGCAGTCGATTCCGAAGGGGAGGTCGCACTTCTCGTGCTGGGGGCTGAAGTCGTTGAACACGAGGCCGTCGGGGCACAGCTTCTCCACAACCTTGCCGTCCCGACAGTCGTAATATTTGTCGCACTGCTCCTCGTCCGGGAAATAACCGTTCGGCTCGGGGCATTGATCCGACACCTCCTCCTCCTCCTCCTCCTCGGCGGGTTGCTGCTTCTTTTGCAACGCTGGCAAACTTGCCTTCCTTCGACTCTGCTCCGCCGCCTCTTGCTTCCTCGTCAAACCGGTGACCGCGCCTACACAACAATTTTTCCAGAATTTATTTTCGAGGATTCGTGGAGAAGTAAGTAAATTCGTTCCTGGGGAGAGGAAGGTGGGGCGGATGCATTCGAATAAAAAGCGGGGAATAGTAAGAGAGAGGGGAGGTCGACCGGTCGGAGCGTTTTCAAGGCAGCGCGACGTCCCTGAATAAACGCGCGTAAACGCCGCGCCGGTCGACCTCGCGAGCGGAAGAAAGCGAGAAAGTGGCTTGGCCGCGCCGTCTTGGCTCAACTTTCCAATACGCGTTTCGAGCTGAAAGTAAAATTTCGTACGTTCGTTTTTACATTTTTAAAAGAGACGATTCTTCGACTCGAGCGTGCACAATTGTATTCCATATTGCTTCGTTGTGTGGTAAAAAGAATAAACTCGTCATCGAATTTTAGAGAAATTGAAATTTTATTGCAGGATATGGAATCGAAAAGAGAAATCGTAATGCATATTGTCGTTACGAAATCGTGACGGCTAAAGGATCAGGATTATTAACGAGCGCAACGGGTAAGACAATATCTCGGCTAGAGGTCGCTGGGTATCCGTTTCTTCGATAATTTTGACGTACAAACAACAATTTTCAAGCTTAGTTATATTTCTCGTCGTGTCGTGCGAAAGAAGTAACGATCGAGAGTGTGACGATAGAAAGTTAAGAGCAGAGGAAGAGTGGAAATTACAAAATGTTATTCGCGTCGTTATTATCGTCGTATATAAAAATTACTCACCGAGACAAATCAGCAGGCACAACACCTCCGTCTTCATGGTGAGGCGGAGGAGGCGTGAAGGATGTGGTGGCGTGAAGAGGTAGAGGTTCGGTTCACTTCGGTTATTATCCGGGAATCGAGTCACGGCCGTTTGGGAACGTGAAGGAATTGATGACTAGAGAGTACTGGATCGCATCGAGAGGGTCCCACGGCCTTATATGCATCCCCCACTTTTCCATTCACGAGGTTACAACACTCGATGAGCGACCAAAGGAGAGCCGTGTTGTTGCTTCCTCTGCATACGCCCGAGCCGATCTCGAACGATTCCGATCCGACCGATCGATTCATGTTCAATTAGCGTTATTTTTCCTTTTTTTTTTTTTTTTGTTTTAAATATATTTTTCGCTTCTCTCTCCCTTTCTCTCTCTCTCCATCCAGAGATTTCGATTCACAGCGCTACGATCGAGATGTATAATATGTACGAGTATTTAATAACAAGTCTCGCGATCCCACCATCCCTCGGGATTCCTCCTCACCCATAATTTTCTCAGCTCGTCGTAAGTGAAAATGATCAAGGCGTACGGTATGCCTGGTAGCCACCACTCCGCGAGGAGGGGGTAGGTGCGGAGGATCACGTCCATGTAGGGGGCGTAACATACGACGCACGCGACCGCCAACTCGAATATTATCCCGAAGTTGAGCACCCAATTGTTCATCCCCTGGCGGAAAAGGGAGTTGCGGCGCGTTTTGCATATCATCACGTCCGCCACCTGTACGATCACTATGCTGACGAAGAAGGCGGTGTGGCAGGTGTACTCGAGGGCCTTGCGCTGCTCGTACGTCCACTCCTGGCCGAAACTGTCCTGCAAGTCGTTCACCACGATGCAGTCCCACGACGATCTCAGGTTGAACAACGTGTAGGGGAGGAAACCGTGCTCGGCCATCACCACGAAATACGTGAAGAAACCGGCGCAAGCCTCTATTATCCCGATCTGGCCGTAGCTCATGAAGAGCAACGACCGGCTCACGAGGTGATCCTTGAGCGGTATCCTCGGTTTCCTGCAATTCGGTTGCATTCGTTTCCATCGTTAGCCTCTCCCCCCCCCCTCCACCCCGTGTCTCTCGATCACCTGAGCATGATATCCGACTCGGACTTCTCGTAAGCGAGAGAAATGGCCGGCCACATATCGGTGCCGAGATCGATGCACAATATGCAAATCACGCCCACGGGCAACGGTATCCCGAGGAGGATGAACGCCAGGAACGGGAGTATCTCTGGAACGTTGCTTGCCAATGTGTAGCCGATGCTCGATTTCAAATTGTCGAACAGCCTTCGCCCCTCTTCGATCCCAGTCACTATAGACGCAAAGTCATCGTTCAATAGAATTAAGTCCGCGACTTCTTTACTCACGTCTGACCCTGGTTGGTTCCAACATTTCATTCGATGGATCAATAATTTCCGCTCGCTCGATCGGATAATTGCAATGATAATTCTGTTGGTTGGAAGAGAGAGAGGCAGAGAGAGAGAGAGAGAGAGAGAGGGGGAGAGAGAAGAGGAAAAAGATATACCCGCGATCCCCATAGCGATACCGATGTCGGCCTTCTTCAACGCTGGCGCGTCGTTCACTCCGTCGCCTGTCACCGCGGTGATCAGATGAAGCCTCTGACAACTCTCCACGATCTGAAGCTTCTGGACGGGGGACGTCCTCGCGAACACGATCTCCGGATACCTTCTTATTATGCGATCCAATTCGCCCGGCTCGAGATCCCTGAGATCCATCCCGGTCATCACGATCGAGTGCTCCTTCCCGTCGTTCTCGTTGTTCAAATAGTCGTCGGTGATTATCCCCACGTACTTGGCGATCGCCCTCGCTGTGTCGGGGTGATCGCCTGTCACCATGATCACCTTGATCCCGGCGCAACGACACTTGTACACGGCGTCGGGCACCGTTGGCCTCGGTGGGTCCATCATCGATATCAAACCGATCTAGAATAACGCGATGCGTTTTCTTTAATCATCGAGATGTTATACTCGGGTGACGGTATAGTCGCTCTGCATAAGATGTCATTGAGATATTATGGTCGGCTATAGTCGTTCTGCATAAGATGTCATTGAGATACTGTGCATGACTATAATCGCTCTGCACAAGATGCCAATGAGATACTATGAATGACTATAGTTGCTCTGCATAATGTCATTGAGATATTATGGTCGACTGTATATATATCGCTCTGCACAAGATGCC